TTGAGATTCGAGAGTAGAGAAGACATCATTCCACCAAGGACTCCAACAATCAGAACGACCATCTTGACAGAGTGATCTGGATAGAGTCTGCGGAGTTCGAAGAGAAAATCTCGATATTTTATCCGTTTTTCCTCCTCTTTTCTGACGATATTCGTCTCGTCAAGAGCTAAAAACTGCACGACAAATATCATCTTGATCTGGTGATCGAGAAGGACTACATCAAGCTTATTAGCTTGTATGAGCCTGAGGGTGGGGAACGAATAGTTCCAATAAATTCGGCACTTCTCGTTACCCACAACGGATTCAATATCCTCCGGAGCGTAGGACAACACTGGTGTCTCGTCAATACTGTAAGAGTGCCTTAGATCGTAATATAGCACTTTTAGGGCCGCGTTATGTCGATGGATATAGGCCGAGACCGCATATGCTGGAAATGCTGATAGCAAGTACATTAGAGTCTCGGACGCCTCGCTGTAGGCCCTGCACCTTGTGTCAGGAACCTCTATACCCATCACGCAACTGTAGTAGACTGAGGTGTTGAAGACACCATATTGGCAAGCAATGATGAACCCCTCAGTTTCCGACTTCAGCCCACTCGACCTGAGGAAAGCGAAAGTCAGGTGCTTTGATAAGCCAAGACCTTCAATGTTATTTAAGAAGATTCCATGCATTAGCTTATCCTTGTGTTTCTGCAGAAGTGAGGTGATCTCTGCGGCTTTTATATGAGCTTTTTGCTGAACGGGTTCCAACTCGGTGACAGAGTTGTGGTCATCTCGTTCAGTGTAGAAAACTAAACCGAGTTCATCAGCTGCTCGGGCAGCTGCCCTGAAGAGAAATGCTCCAATTCCTGCTCTCTCGTGGTCACGGACCATGCAGAGAAGGGGATCCGAACTCCTCACGACTTTACAGGCTACAACCAGTACCATTCTGTCATGTCTGTTGTCGGGGGAAGTACAACCGTGGAAATGACGATTTGAGATGAAAACTCCTATGGAGATGCATCATTTTTCAGGTCATTACGTCGAGTTCATACAGCTCCTCCCGAGTCCGCTTCACTACTCCAAACGAGTAGAGTAGAATTGGAACGGCAAGCAAATTTGTTGCAGCAACTTTGTTCTTCTCGAAAGTTCCGATGACCAGATCTGTCGAAGTTTGTGCTGATACTTGCCGCGGAGAGAGTTCTTTACTGCTGTTACCTCTTGTGAGTGGCGTTGTTTCACCTCGAGGTGAGTATACGTCTCTCTGGCATCCAAATGGTGTAGGATGCTTCCATCTACGAGCTGCATATCCTCTCCGTAGTCCCCGCATCGTCCTCTTTTGAGATGAACCATTGCACATTTGTCTATCCCAATTTTCACACCGATAACTTATGTGTACTCTTCCACCACCCTCAAGGATGGAGATGATGGAGATCTTTCTCTATCTATTATCTGGACATTTCATTCTTTTGATATACGTCGAAAGAAATGTAGGTATTAACAATTATTGAGGCGAAAGTTCAAAAGTGAATTTTAGAGTTTGAAAATGGAAATAGATCGTTTTCCGAAACGTCGACCATTTACTCACGTTGACATGCATCGGTTTCATTCCAGTGTTTCTCATAGGGCCGGAAATAATTAGGTTTGCACTTGTTGCAATTGATTCCTTCAGTATTATGTTGACAATTTTGACATACACCACCTCCTTCAAATTTGCCATGAATGTCCAGGGATAAATGATTCTTATCGATATCTTCATCATAAATGCATTGATTACTGTGTCCAAAACAATTACAAGCTGAAAAATATTAATTTGTATCTGGTCTTAACAGTGGATTAGCATAAACCACTTACGTTCACATCTGAAAGGAGCATTATGCTTTGATTGTTTCCACGACTTTTGTTCGTATCCGGGACAACATGTGTCACATTTAGCGCCGCAGGTATTATGTTTA